GAGAGAGAGAGAGAGAGAGAGAGAGAGAGAGAGAGAGAGAGAGAGACAGACAGACAGACAGAGAGAGAGAGAAGGGTTTGTATTGATTGTCGCCTTCATCAATCGTGGATTTCTGAGGTCGTTCTGGTTTTTGTTGTCTGTACAGTATGTGGACACGGGTCGCCAATCCTTCCTTTCTTCGTCCTTCCTTCATTTCTGTCTGTATACTGTGTCGGACACGTGGAAATCGTCCTTCTCAGCGCGTCTAAACGAAACCAGCTAATGTGTTCATGATGCATTCACCAAAGCACATGATAGTGCGGCGGTGCAGTTCACAAGAAAACGAAAAAGGAGCGATAGGCCATACTTTCAGTATTTCTATTACCACTTTTTTTTTTTTTTTTTTTTATAATGTTGGAATCGTCCCTTTGAATAGAACAATCAATCAGTCAGTGGTATTGAGTTATTGACTAGTCTCTTTTATTTTATTTTTTTGTTCGTGAATGATTGATTGATTGGTATGGATTTCCCTTCCAATACAACAATCAATCAATCGTACCTTTGGAATCAATCAATCGCCAATCCTCCCTTTCTGTAGGTTTCCCTTTGGAATCCTCCCTTCCAATAGAACAATCAATCAATCGCCAATATTGATTTATGGACTGGTCGCTTTTTTTTTCCCCCCCGTAAATGATTAATTACTACGGATTTCCCTTTGAATAGAACATTCAATCAATTGTACCTTTGGAATCAACCAATCGACCATTTGAATAGCTTTTCCTTTCGAATCGTTCCTTTGAATACCACAATCAATCAATCAGTGATATTGATTTATTGACTGGTCGATTTTTTTTAATTTTTTTTTTCCCCATTCGTTTATGGATTGATCGATTAGTACGGACCCAACCCCCCCACACCCCCTGTCCAAACCCATGTCACGTTGGCTGCTGTTCCCTTTCAATAGAATACTTGGTGATTTCAAATCGTTCCGTTTTTTTTTTTTTTCCACTCCAAACTCTGCAAAAACGTTTAAGGAAGTCGACAACGGCAAAAGCACATCACACGGAAGTACATAACACAAACGAAACATGTTGTCAATGAAGTTCACGTCAAACGCAAATAAAACAAGCAAATCCACTCGCATGTCACACATTTGAAACCCTATTGCAGAAAGCACACACGGCATATCTTTCGACAAAGGGACGGAACACATTGACATACACATCACGTCTGTTTGAATTAAACCTTCTTACGCATATGGAAAATTTATGACAATGCATGCCACATCATCTAACCATCAACGTGCAAGCATTGATTACTTTCGCTGGCAAACGAAAGGATTGACTTGCATGATTCCTAAAAGACAGCGGGTGGCTCTAAGTACAGCCCACCCCTAAACTACCGAACCCCCCCCCCTCCCTTCCCCCCCCCCAATCCAAACACACCTGCAAAAGCCACCATCGTCAAGCCATAGCTGGGTGCATTCGAAAGCTAAGCACGTCGCGCAATGCAAGGGCATCATCGGTGGCATCATCCTGCGACACAGGGGCAGCAGGTTCATGCATACCCAGATCGATGGGGCGCTCGTTGCCGTCGGCGTCCCTGTCAACAAGTAGACGCTCGTCAAATTCGATGCCGGTCTCGATCAGCAAGTTGTGCAAAATACAAACGGCGGTGAATTGCTGGGGCAGATTCTCCATGTTCATCTTGTGGTGGCCCAGAAACAGCCGGCACATCCCCTTCAGTATCCCAAATGCCCGTTCGACAACATTCCGTGATGACTTGTGACACGTGTCGAAATGCGCCTCGTCGGGAGGTTGCACTACTCCACCGTAAGGCACTACAAGCCAGGGCAAGGGCCCATAGCCGTTGTCCGCGAGGACGTACCCCCTCGTTCGCACCCCGTATGGCAGGTCCACCGCATCCGCCAAGAACAAAGTGCCAGCTTCTGCACGTCTGTACAGTGACGAATTGATCAAAACCCTGGCGTCGTGGACGCTGCCCGGATACCCCACGTGAACATCCAGCACACGCATGTCGAGGTCGACGACGACTTGAGCAATGACAAAGTACTGCTGCTTTCGATCGAAATAGTTCTCCGCTGGCGCATTTGCTGGCTTGTCGATGTACACGTGACTGCATTCCATGCAACCAAAACAGTTTGGGAATCCCTTTGCTGCAAACGCTCGTGTAACCTGCAGCAACCGCCGACCTGTTGGCATCGCTATCTTGTCCGGATACGCAGACAAGATCGCGTTCGTCACGCCCCTCACCGCCTTGATACCACTCGACCGCCCCATCCCAAATGACGACGTTGCACTGTCAAACGTCTCGCTGCTCGCCCACCTGTACAAAGCGAACGCCACCAGCTGCTCCGGCATCAGTGGAGTGCGGTAATGAGTGAGGGACCGTTGAAGAAAAGGAGTGCAGGCGGCGACGATGTCGTAGAACGCCCCTCTCGTCATTCGTAGCTTCTCATGGAAATAGTCGTCTGTGGCGTCATCATCAATTATGAGATCTTGCCATGTTCCGCCGGTTCTCCTCCGGATCCACCACCGTGGCGTCTCCCTAGGGAGGACACCCGACACAACGGCATTCGCCATAAGGAACGGCGCATCCCAAACCGTGGCGGACGAATTCGAATCCGCCATGGTGTGCGTGGCGATGGCCTCCCTCACCCCAGCTCTTCTCGCCGGACTGCGCCGCAATGCCACTGTGTGCTGCAGATGTGTCGACATGGCGAGCAACGCTGTAACCACCCGGCGTTTCTCACGCTGGGACAGTTCGCGACGACGTGCGCAGAGCCGTCCGCCGCCACGCACGAAAATTGGATGTCCTCCATGGACAACAGCTATGGCAGTCCACTCAACGCACGGTGCAACGAACAACTCCCGAGGAAAGGAAACTGGCGGCGGTGTCCACTGCCCTCGCACGCGTCCAAGTGCAGTACAAGCCCGTGTCCACTTCCGCGCGCATGGCAATTCTGTAGGCTGCACAGCGCCACACTCTACCCCCAACAGATTTTGAATTTGAAAACCCACCGCGCGCGCGCTCCCACACTGCTCCTCGCCCCGACCGGTCCCTAGAGTCCCAAATGGCACATCGTAGGCGGACATATTCAAGGCCGGGTGCCGGCCTACTGGATCGAAAACCCGCCGGTGGGTCTCCGCACAAGGGGGAGCCAGGGTGTTTTTCTTTCAAGTGCGACATTTTCAAGTTCGGTCTCTAGTGTGCATGGAACGAGGAGGCGGCGTAGTGTAAATTAATCAAGATTTCGCGATTAGCGCGCACTTGAAACTCAAGAGTTCTCAAGTGGTGTGGAACAAGGCTCTTAGACTAGTGAAACAACACCCCGGCACTTCCCATCCGATGTGGCAGCATGCACATTGCACACAGTGTCTCTGAGAAAAAATGGCTGGGAAACCCACTGCCACAATGTCAGGAAACTTACGGGTCACTACTGGAGCGCCCGTTAACGAGTGTCTCTTCTTCCTAAAGCCGTGTCCGTTAACGAGCCACAAGTTTAGGGAACGTACGGGCCACTACAGGAGCGCCCAAATTCAGCAGACTAGAAACGTTTCTGCCCCATTTTTTCCCATGGCCGATAGCTGGGCCAAGTACTGGTGGTTTAAGGTCAATGGAGAGAAACCAGCAATCCATGCAAGTGGGTCCTTCAATTGGTGGGCCCTCGCTGGGGCGCAATTTTACTACTGACCCATATAGAAGGCACAGTCATCATAGCCTCATTTGGACCAACTTTCAGTCTAGGTACAAGGATAATGACTGGGTGTTCTATTTGGGTGAAGATCTAGGCTACCAGCCGGGCCGCCCGGGTCATCCTATTTTCCTGGGCGGCCCGGCCGCGCAAGGAGTAGGGAAGGTCCCAGCCAAAAAAGAAAACAAAAATCCAAAAAATCCGAAAAAAAAACTATGTTATGCAGAAAAAATAAACTGAACAACTTTTGCCTCAGGGTCAAATCGAAATTCTTTACCAAATTTAAAATAAAAATTTAAATTAAAAATAATTTTTAATTTTTTAATTTCTTTTTGGCCCGGCCGGGCAAGGGGACCCGGGCAAACTCTGGTAGCCTAGGTGAAGATGGTAGCCATGGAGGTTGGATGTTGACAATGAAGCGGGAGCCGTCGCTCAGTGGCGAAGAGCATCAGTTGGAATGTCTTGCTGAGTAGACTGTGGACTGGATAGGGGCGGGAGTCTCGGGAGTAGGGGCATTTGCCACTTAAGTCCTGTAGAGGGTAGTGCGGTTACATACAGGACGCCCGCAGATCTGACAACAACGGGCCCGGTCCGGCATGGTCGTCTGTCTTCCTAACCATCGACTTTGCCCGGCTTTCCATTTTTTCTCCCTTCTTCTTAATACTTTGCCCTGCTTTCCTAGAATTACATTTAAAAAAATAAAATAAATTAATACTAAAATTAAATAAATCATTAAAAAAAAAAAAAAACATTTACCATGGTTCTGATTTGAAACAATACCCCAATGATATCTCCACATTGAGAATTTATAGCGAGTAGGCACTTCCCCCCCGCCCCTCCCCTCCCAAGACACTGGGTGCTCGATGGGGGTTAGGAACGGTCTCTCACAGCACTCCAACCGCTGGACTGCCTGCAGGGTGAACCTCTTCAAATGTTCAAGAACTACCGTCTTCACCCGAATAGAACGCCCGGTCATTATAGCTGTATTTAGCACAACTTTCGGTCCAGATGCAGCGATAATGGCCGGGCGTTCTATTTGGGTGAACATGGTAGCGGTGCTCATGGCAGCCTGGAGAAGGCTTGGTTCGAGAGAGAAAACAACACATCTATGACTTTATACAAGCCAGGGCGGCCATTGCCGACATAATCACGGCTAAAAGGTGAAAAGCATGGAAGGATCTTAAGAACATGCTGAAAAAGGATTCTGATGAGTGTTGGCAAACAAGTCCACACCAATATGGACTGATCGCAACAGTCGATTGTGTGAACTAGAAAAATATAAGGGGCATGTATGTTCAAGTGACAACCTGGTATGTTCAAAAACGGGAAAAGAAAAACGCGTAACGGCAGGTCCGTCACCCGCCAAGTTAAATAAGGCAATAAAAGCGCCACGGCACTTTGTAATAACCACGGATGAAACGGTGGGCTGTCAATGATTAGACTGCCTGAGTTCAAAAGCCACAAAAAAAGTACAGCTCTTTTTGTGGTTTTTGCCATTTCAAACTCGAGCAGTGACGAAACTGCTAGTACGCGTTTTTTTCTGCCCATTTCAAACCAAAATCTGCCCCTCAGGAGGTGTGGGGGGCTAGATTGGGGACTTGGGGGAATCAAATCCACAACCTCCTAAATGCCTGCTTTCTTGCTCTACCGACTGCCACCCGTTGCCAAGGGTTAGGTTCAGACTTCATAGGCTCAATCCTCAGAGGATAGGCTCAACCCATAAGATAGATAGGGAAACACAGTCAAAACGACGCGTATATGCCAAAGGCAGAACCAGATGAGAGTGGAGATGGACCAGGAGGAGAGGAATATGACACAGACGAGAGAGAAGGCGAAACATATTACTCGACAGGAGATGAGAAGGATCTAGAGAGAGAAAGCCATGGAGACGTCAGGTATGCGCTGAAAATTGGCACTCAGTATATTCAAGAGATAATAGAATCTGTGCCAAAAACTGGCGAGGTCCCTACATGTTTCGATCATCCGCCAAAACGATCTCATCAGCCATGGAGATCGTCCCCCAAAACGATCAACCCATAACCCTTAGTGTAGCTTTTTTTTTTTTTTTTTTTTTGGAAAAAAAGCTCCAATCTATTTGTGGGGAGCAGCACGTGCTGAGAACTGGGCTCAGCGTCCCTTCATGAAATGCGTAGAAGTTTGAGGAAAAACATGAGCATGAAACAAACAGAGAAAACAACCGTGCTGAGCAGACTTTTCCTTTTTTTCTTTTTATTGCTGCCTCGTCAGGCACAAATATCCGACCAAATAGTGAATCAACAACTAGCTGGACCAAACTTAAGCCTCTTCTATACCAAACCGTTGAAGATCCACCAGAGATAACACAGATGGCGGGAAGGGATCCGCGAACAGATCGGGAGATCTCCAAGAAGCCCCTGTGCTGATGTCATACCAGTTCCGGAAGGTAATGCCGCTAGATGGTAGATCGCGGTGTGTATGATTCCTTCTTCTTCTTCTTCTTCTTCTATTTTTTTTTTTTTTTTTGTGATTGCTAGTTAGGTCGGTAGTGGGCGGTATATGGAGAGAAGAACATAGCTTACTATTTTTTTTTTTTAAATGTGACTCAAGTCAGATGTAGTTATTCCGAAATGGTTCCATTGCAATCTGCCATGGAAACCTTGGTGTACCACCAAAAAGAGGCAATAAACGGAGAAAAAAAAAAAGAGCACTTTCAGTTTTAGTTCCTGCCAACAAACTCTCTGTGTTTACTTGGTGCAAGGGGAAACATCTCCCGCTGCACACCCTACGCAGGAGAGCACCACTTGACATCCCAGGCTGTCTCCTCCCTATCCTCCATGCTACCCTTCCCATCCTCTGCTGCAGTGGATTGCCGGATCGAGATAACCCTCCCCTCCCCTGTATACCTTGATCTGAGCCCCCCCAACACCTCCCTCCCCTCCAACCCC